ATAAGGTTAAACTATTTTTTTTAATCGATAATTAAAACGACGATTACGTCATAGTAAAATAGTATTCTGGGTAAATTTCAAACATTTTTACAGACACAAACGGTACTTTATCCTGAAAATTCAAATAAGACAAAATATGATAGAAAAATTTGTCTTTATAGGTTACAAAATAACACACCTATTTCATATTCAAATACAAAGATATATGAATCTTAAAACTGTGGTACTTCCATTCATCATGTCCTTAATAGGTCTTCATTTGATTGATATGTTTGCAAAATATTTCAAATATTTTCACACAAAGATAAATAAGCAACTCTTTTACTAGTTATCCTTATGTTTCCCTGTTTCAAGATAATTTCCAATCACGGCATGAATTTATTTCCTTTGACGTCGTAATATCTGGAACTCCTTAAGTAAATAAATATCGTCATTTAAAGACAGGGGGTTTCTGAATAATATCTGAATTATTTTATAAAGATGTTAGAGCTGAATAGCAGTAGATAGATAAATATAACAAACTTTTGAAAAAAAGTTTCTATTCAATCGTCGGATTTCTGCCTTAAACAAATACTCAAACACTTCTTTTACTAAGCAGCTAATGCTGATTTTAGATGTTTGGTTATATAATATTCTAGACAATTTGTTTAAGATAGACTATGTTCAAATCTGAAAAAATATTGATAATTGCTATACAGTCTCTTTGTAAATATAAAATAACATGTTTTGAACTCAACACACTATAGATGATCACAATATGAACTGGCAGTTTTATTTCAAGAAAAGGCGATCTTGTTTTGTAAAATGGAATGCAGCTTCATATATATGGAATACAGCTTCCTATACATAGTTTAATTATTCTTTTATTCATATTAGAATATTCAGCATTCATAGATTTCAAGAAATTTCTGTGATTAAACTATTTTACATAAGGATGAGCATAGTATTTCTTAACTTATTTTTATAAATGTATAACAAGAATAATATAAAAAGTAAATGACATTGATTGAAATTGTAATTATTGCAAAACTGACTAATGAACATACTCCACAATGTAAATGCTTAGTAAAGAAATAATTGTAGCGATGGATGTCCGTCATTCTAGTGCTAAGTATATTAAATAATATTCATATACTTAACAAGGCATGCGGGGCGCTTTATTGGGTGTATCTAAATAACGTAACAACCAATGACAATTCTAAAAATTTATTTACATTGCAAACTGCAATATTATGATATTTCAAACTCAGAATGAGTACCAAGGGATTGTTTGTAATCAACTGAACTGGTTTTATCCTGATGATTTACTCTTATTTATAACCAAAAATTCTAAGCATTCATAGTACATTTTTGTAAATTATTTCACGCGAATATAAATGATAACGGAAATAAATGGTTAAACATAATGGAAATGTCATACCTGATGTCAAAAAACAACAGCGAGTTATACGGAATGTTAACGGGCGATAAATTATGTGTACGTATTGACATTATTCTAAAGTATAGTTTTAACTACAACAGATTATATTCTTATTATATGATATTGCATAATATTACCCAAGAAATAAATCATACATAACACAAAAAACACCCATAATCATAAATGAATATTTTTGAAAAAATAAGAATTTAAACTTTCATTTAGATTTAATCTATATGATATTAAACATGTGTTGTTTTATGGAAAATTCATATTTATCATAATTCAATTTGTAAGTAATTTTGCTAATTTCTTTTTACAGAAGTGATTAAGATTTTATATATTTTCTTTGTTGCAAGTGGCAACCATCTTTTACATTAATTGCTTTCTTATGAGTGTAATTAAAAAACAGCTTGCTACTATTTAGATATATTAGTTTGATAGCACAGAATCATTAACGTTATATTTCATACTTTAAGTTGATCAATGCAATTTTCACTATTTTTTAACTAGTTCAACTAGTTTATTCTGATAATGATATTGAGAATAGTTTCTATTATTGTACGTATTGTTATTTTTTTTAGCTTATAGTAACTTTTAGTTACGTGTAAATGAAATGTATTTTGATAAAACTTTGGTAAATTTCAATAAACCCTTGAATTCAAAGGGTGGTGTCATCCTGACAATTAAATTTCCCATTAGTACACGTATGATTATAAAATTTTAACCACTCTTCATGAGTAAACTATTAAATCAAAGCACAGAAAGCGCTGAATTTGTTTGGGTCTCAGAATGTCAGAAAGGTGAAGGTTGTGAGATTATAAACCAATTTGTTTTTGTATAGTGCCACCAATGCTTTCCAGTGTTTTAACTGTAGTAAATTGGCTATTAGACTAATTGCAACACTGATAGTCAATTCAATGTTTATTTGACTTAAAAAATGAAAAAAAAATGAGTTGCTCAACTGGGATTCGAACTTCAGACCTCTCGATTCATAAGCGAGCGTGCAAACCCCTCGGTCACGGTGAAGTTATACGTTAACGGCTTGAAGAAAACCATATTATTCTAAATTAGGGTTTGTAACTCTTATTATTTCGACGCTAAACCTGTTGTTTAACACAGATGTAAATAATCGTGAAGCTTACTGTAAGCATGTATATCTATAAAGAATGAAACAGTATTAGAAATCTTCGACCATTCGGGAACTACTTTGCTTGAAAATTAATGCCCCTGTCATTTGACAATCTTTACGCATTGATCTCCCCTGAATTTTTCGGCGTTAGTGTACATATAAAGGGAAGTAACCTTTTAAAAAAGTGGACTACTTTAGGCATTTGCAATTAACAGCATTAGGCTCTGAAATTTCGCTACCATTATTTGTTTGGCCTGACGACCAAACAAATAAAAAAAACCTTAAAAATGATAGAGGTAAGTTAAGCGCAACCGCTTAAATAGTTACATGAATTAATAAATTGATTTTGAATTTTTATGCAAATTCTAAACCAAGTCCATAATGTTAAGAAAGTCTACCCTTTGATACAGAAACAATGCATTTCATCATTTAAATACAAGAATGTTTGCATAAAAATCTCAAATAAAGTTGCAGAGGACTAAATTTGTCTTAACATTTCGCAAAATCGAGTCACAAATCGTAATCATATTACACACAAATAAACATACAAACACACACAAAATGAATTACCAAATGGGAATATGAGTCAAGTGTTTTGACTGACATTCATGTTTAGTAATCCTAGTGCTTCCCTGTTCCTGTATAATCTCCCTTAACAGTGTTAGTTATTTCCTTTGACATAATATCTAGAACACTGAAGATTGTCATTTGAAGTAACCGAGATTCAATACAATGATGACATTAATACATGTATAGAAATTGTTATAGAATCTGATTATATAACAAACATTTGAACACAAATTCCATATCGTATAGCATTGCGTTTATTTCTTTCGTTTTTAAAATGTGTTTTTAAATGTACGTTTTATCATGTATATGCAATGATGAGATGTAAATAAAGATACTACTGTTATTAATCGTTTGAACTTTAATATACTCTGAAAGGATTTACATATTACTATAATAGACCAATATTTTACCATTAAGAAGCATTCAGCAAATGTTGTGATGTATTCCTATGATCGAAAACACTTCATATCTTAACTGAACTTAATTGAATTGTGCCAACTAATCTGATAAATTTAAGTTAATTGATTTTTTTATAGAATTTGATACATGTTTTGTGTGAGCATGTAATTGTTTATTTTTTACTCTGATCTGTATAGTTATATGAGTGTGAATATTTTAATATTAATGTTAATTCTGCTTAAGCCAGTGCTAGGGACGTGAACAATACCAAGTGAACAATACCAAGCCTGCAACAGTTTCATTTTTGTATTTTTGGGCGTTCTTAAGGGATTCTGTTTTTAAAACCTCCCCTACACAGAGGACAAAATATTCCTACACACCCCAAGGTCTGGATGGGCTTGCATGTATATCTATATTGTTTTGTATTCATGTGGAATCATACGTGCTTATCTTACTTGCTTGAATACATCGTTTTATTCCAATGTGTTAGCTTTTCTTAGGTCTTCTATGACTTTTCTTGTCAATGTTTCAATGTCATTCCGTTAAAATATTTTGAATTACCTTCCAAGAAAACTATTGCCTTGATCATTAAGTAGAATCCACCTAATAGCATTTTCTGTGAAATCTTAGTAATGTCCGATTAGAAATTAGTCCTCTTGAGCAACTAGACAAGTAGTATTGCAAATTGTTACGAGCGGCCAAACTTCGCTAACTTAATCTATGGCAGCAAGATACAAATTTTGGTGTTCCAAATCGATTTGTGTCCATATATTCATCTACATAGCCCATCTTTATTTTGATTCATCAAATTATGAGAATCTTGTTGTGGTTTACACACGAAATGTTTCACGATCATTTAGCTCCACAATGATTCTATATAATATATACACATAAAAAAGAAAGGAAAACAGAAAAAAACGACGTTGTTGTTGTGTTCTTTTTGTCATCAAACTTAATAAGATCATTTATTATTTCAAGAGATAGTATAATCGATACAATGTTGGTTATAAAATACCCATGCACATATTTGATTCCATTAAATAACTACAATAGTAACCCCCTGGTTAAACCAGACACCGATGGAGATAATATTTAATTTTACGATTTAGATATTTAGATCATTGACATTTAATCAAACATGCATTTTATGAACCAAAACACTTTATCAAAATAACTACAATTGTTCTATTTTAAAGACATTTAAGAACAACAAAGTGTTAAAATATTATTCTACAAAAACATTTCCTTGAACTCTCAATAAAAAATAATGTTTTAACACGAAAATGCTTCACTTAACAATTCTTCTTTTTTTCAAAGTTCTTTTATTTAACATTTCTTTTAAGGTATCCTTTTTCTGCAATTTCCTTTACAAAATGTCTGATTTGTTTTGTAAAGAAGTGCATAATTTCATAACCAACAGACGACACAAGGCTGTACTGGAGATGTTGTATTGGATTTCTCCATATGCTACCTGAGACATGACACAATCACGACCTGTATTAAAAGAGCGTTGTAACAGTTAGCTAGTGATATTACAAAAGTAACATGATCTGATGTCAAACATCTTAGATAGATGAATACAAATGTGGAAGATAATCTAAAATTTCAAAATTGCATATTTTCGTGTTATTTAAAGTATTGCTTTGCTTAATTGTTTCATTTGAAAGAGTTAGTTTCTAGAAATAATCGTTTTTATATGACAGGTATTTCTATCAACAAATGTCTGCGGTTGGTATTGAAGGAGTTGTAAAATCGGGAAGTAAAAGTGCCAAAGCAATGATGCAGAACGGAAATATGTGGAGGATAATTGCCTTGTCTATCGTTCCAGGGGTAATATTAGTATTCCAGAACAGTTTCAATTTGAGTTCAAGCTCACAGGTTAGTAAACAAATACAGATTTTGTTTATAAATGATATGATTAAAATCAAACCACACCATAATGATATAACACAATATTTAACTCATTAAACAGCTATCTGGGCTGCAACGAGTTCGAATCTCGCTTGATACTTTGAATTATTTAAAGTAAGGAAGTAAAGATATGCGAGCTATAATGGCATAGGCAGCCTGTGATAAAATTTTTGATAGCATGTGGAAGGTAAATGGTAGAGTGCAAGGTCGGCAGCTCTTCTCGGGTGTCCGCTTATATCTGAAATGAACGACGCGGATGACATAAATGGTGTCTGGCCATAAGGCAAGCCTATAGGTAATCTTTCGTAAAGAAAGAAAAATACACAAATGCGAGTTGGCATGAGAGATATGTATATAAAATATTAAATAGTTATTTATGTTTTCGGATTGGCTAAAATTTGTCTGTGAGTTAGATATACGGTCAATAGGGGAAAAAGATTGCATTGTTTGGCTATGATATTAAACAGATAAAACACTAAAATTAATATCTTTTTCAGTTTCTGCTTGGATTTTTAGTTGTAAATCATTTTTGGCGGCATGAATTAATATCAAAATGTAAAAATTGTGAAGCGTATTTGCTTGCGTAACGACTGGCATATTATTTAGTCTCTTGATAAGATTTTCGGAGAAGTGATAAAAACGGTTTTCTTTACCAAACCATTTCATTTCTATTGGAATATTGGATATGAAAAATATTGCTTAATTTCACAATGGTGTAAATAATTATTACATATTTGTAAAATCTAGATGATATTATGGTTTAGTGTAATACAAAGTAAATAACAAGATTAATACCTCCATAAATTGGAGTGAATATTGCTCTTATTGTAAGCATCGGAAAAAGAAAGAAAAAACAACAACAACAACAAAACCACACACACACACAAAAATCGTCATACAGACTACAATCACCAATGACAAAGTTTTATCTTTAGTTTTATTTTAAGTCCTTTGAACCCTTTAATTTCTGCATGTTGTAACGGGTACATTTTACAAACTTTCAAAAAGATCGTTTAACTACTATTTTTACACTTGTTTTAATAAATTAACTATTGATTTCAAGATACACATCTCATGGGTTTGGTATATAAATATAGAAGCTCATCTTGTTATATCTAATGAACTTACCTGATGTATTCTCCATTAGATATTTCCTTCTACAGCTTCCTACAGTCATTATAGTCAATAAACTTCATTTGAATGCTAAATGTCAAAAGTTCAAGAGGAACGGGGCGGGGGAGAGTGTAAGAATATTTTGTCCTCTGTGTAACGGAGGTTTTTCATCAAGTTTGAAACTTTAAATTTGTCTGATGATACCAACTTACATCCGGCTATGTTTTTTCTAATTAATTTAGGTGCAAGATAAATGCAATGAAAGAAAACACAAAATAAATAATCAATTCCCTGACTAACATGCATTATTTGCAAACGTACGTTAATTTCTTGTTCTAAACATTAAAGGATGAAACGGGGAAATAATATTCATCAGGTGTTTGTGTCATAAACAACTTATATGCTTACTGTTAACAATCACATAGTCTAAAATCAATTGTAAATTTTCTCATGACTGATGCATTTATGTTTTTAAGATCTACATGAGATTCCATTCTTTGGAAAGCTGATTATGCAATAAAGTTTAAACGTCAGATCATCATAATACACAAGTACATAGCTTACTTAGAGATACATAAGAATCAGAAGAAAAAAATTCTTGAAATAATGGAGGGGATAGTTTCAAGCACATTATGTGAAACGACGTTAAATATCATATGTAAACTTAATGATTATCAAATGCAATTTGCAATGATCTTGAACAGCTAAGAAAGTTATTTGTACACTTTTATACGTAGCCACCATATAACTATCCATTTAATTAGATCTCTGATAAATGCTGTATGAAATGACTTCCTTACTGAGAATAAGCCTTTTCAATTTCATTTCCTTTAATGATAAAACTTACGAACTAGATCTAGATCTACTGTCGCCACGTGTGTTATAGTTTTGCACGCAATAATATTAAATCTTCTTCATGATAAATCTATGTTGTTGTGTGTAGGGTCATACAATTTAATTATCTTTTCTCTAGTTATTAACAGAACGATACAACACAAAAGAGAGTGTGCATTATTCTCTGAAAGTTGGGGACGTCATACACAGACTCCAAAATGAACGTGACGTAATGTCACTTTACGTGAGCGTTCAGGGTAATTCTGCCTTGGATGGGTTATTGTCAGAAGCATACAGATTGACAGACGATGCCCTTTTAAAACTTACACGCTGGAGACCCAGTTCTTCTAAAATCAAATTCCGTGATAAAAAAAGTTATATTGACAGTCTCGCCAGAATTAGGAATCAAACCGATCAGGTCACATATAAAGACGTGGTACGATGGTTTGCAGACGATATACGTGTTTTTATAAAGTGGATGGTAGACGCTGTAAAGGAAGAGAGTGAAAGTGATATATGGGCAGAACTTGTAGCGTTTCATATGCTTATTAATGGGAAAGAATGCATCGGTGTACAACTGGCTATCGGGGCTTACTTTTATACACATGGTAACTACCGTTCTTATATTTAGTTAGCTGGAATATCTCTTTTGAAACCATCAATATACATGTAGTTTCTCCAATACAATATGGTTATATGAAAGTATCTTATCTGGAACTTCTTTTGACTTGATTAAATAAAACCTGACAATTTTTCCGAAATAAAAATGAGCCAAATACAAACACGGGCTAAAGATACTTAAAGGGTATAAATCTATATCTAATGAAATATTTTAATAAAATTTATCAACAGTAAAATTATATTGCTTCCATTATTATATGGTTGATTCCCGAAAAAGTTGTAACATAGAATGATTTTGTTTACTTTATAAACTGACAGTAGCCTTGTATGTAGATAATGCAACCAATGAAATGCGGCATTGCAAACGTGCATTATTATAAATTTACCGCACGCAATGAAATTTCGAATCAATTTGAAATATAAAACACCTGGTCAAACTTAAAAAGGTAATTTCTGGCGCCGCTTATAAGTCAAATGTATGTGTATGTGTGCTTTATCATTTTTTTCAGCAAAGATACTAAAACAGTTAAATTAATAAGAATGTTAAAGGTCTCAGTACTTAAATCCTACCAATTTTCCCCAAGCGTCTTAAATATAAAATATCACTTGTCGTAATCTAGAGGTTGATATCAAAAGGTATGTTTCGCAGATAAGAACTTACTTTACTTAATTATGAAATTTGAAGTTCTTTGAATCAGGTACGTCGTTTATCAATCCCTTTGATATGTGTGCGGATGATTATAAGGACTTTTTTTAATGAAAAGATAAGATTTATAAAGAAATATATAACATTTGCATAGGTTTTAATTTTGTATCAATTCATATAGGTGGATTAGATATTGAATCTTTACTATGGTATAAGGCTAACCACGACCTCGGCGAGACTTTCTTCAAGATGTTTGAGAGTTACTCTGCTTTGGCGTCAAAGAGTAGAGAGGATCATATTGACGTCGAGCTCGAGCACCGTATGCACGAGATGCAGGAACGTATCATAGAGAATTATACTGACACGTTTTCTTATGAGGAAGGAATGTTATGGGTTGACAATATGACGTTATATATTGATCAACTTAATGATGCAATCCTAGATTTGGCCGATTATATTACTTTGGTAATTAGTTAAACTACATATTAACATTTGTAGATAGTAATCAAGTTGTTTTTTCTTTTTTTGTCCTTACTTTTTTGCTAAGCTTTATCAAAGGGATTTATAATGTAAAACGTAACATATGTTAAATAAATGTACTAATGAACTATTATAGTATAATTGTCCTAAGTTGTTACAAAGCGTTATCAGGGTAAAGTGTGATATATGTACATACTTAACAAATGTACTAATGAACTATTATAGTATATTTCTCCCTACTTTTTTAACAAAGCGTTATCAGGGGATTATAACGTAAAGCGTACTACATACCTTACTAATGTACTATTGTGTATCATAATCATCTTCCAAAGCAACAGACTTTAAAATTCAGGTTGTACTATTTTGATCCTCTGCTTTCACCGGCAATTTTAAACATTTTGATAATATTTTATATTTTCCCTTCATTGTAGCGAACAAATGAGAAGATATTTACTCACAGGGTGGATGTAACCATTGACGTTACAGTTCTTGTGGTTACTTTTATTGTTGCGGTCCTGGTATCCTTAATCATATACAAAATTTCCAAAAGCATAGATAATGTAAAGGAATGCTTACAAGAAAAGACATTGCACCTTGAGAAAGAACAGAAGCGAACAGAGACATTATTATCCCAACTAGTGCCGGCAAAGATCGCAAAGCGAATGCAGAAGAGTATTGTTGAACCGGAAAGTTTCGAGTCTGTCACTGTAATGATTGGTGAAATCTGCAACTTTAATACATTTATCCACCGCAGCACACCTAACGAGTTGTTGGAATTGGTGAATGACGTATTCGACGTCTTCGAAAAGCGCATTGAGAAACACAACGTCAGTAAGCTCGGATCAACAGGTAAACTAAAATATATATCTCTAAAGTTTAAAAAATCTAGGTTAGTATGAAAATGCTTTTTAGGGAAAATATTTTCATATTGTAAATAAAACAAAACGTGTTTAATGGTAATTTTATACTTGCATTGAAACATGTTCGTTTCCCAAGTTTATTTTCAGCTTTGTAACCCATCGTCCCAAAGACACGCGCACAAATAGTTAAATTAACTAGTTGTCGACTAAGTTATCATCGTAGGCATTCAACTGCGGCATTACTAATATAAAAAAGTTAATAAGAAACGAATGTAAACTAAATTTTGAAAAGAAATAAAAGTTAAATAATTATATTAACATGAAATGTTAGGTGGTCGTACTTTCAATTATCAACAGTTCGTCGAATTACATACGTAACAGTAACTTGAAAATTTGAAATAAAGACCATTTCATTACAATTTATACAATAGAAGTAATTATTTACGATATAGATATTCATAATCCAGATACTGTATCAGATTGGAAATATGGTATATACAGAAATATTAAAATTAAATTTTATATGCAGTTTTAGCTATCTTAGGTATTCTTAATTTCATTTTGTTTTGTCCAAATTCTTTATGGCATGTAAGTTCAATAAAGGCAAGGAAATATTTGATATAGAAACTTTAAATTATTCAATAAGTCATGCTAAAGAAACATTTATATTTACATAACTAATTAAAACATTCATCTTCTCTAAATCGCATAAAACCTCGTCTTCACTTGGCTAGTACAGTCTAGATTGTTGCATGATGTATACGACTAAATAACACAGAATAGAAACTAATGTGACATTTTATTTCATTGCTTACGTGTTTGTCATGTGAGACGTCATTTGATGTAGCCTAGTTTTTCCTTTGATTTTAAAAACAAGTTTTTTTAATGATTAGGAAGATATTTTGTAAGGGAGAAATGACGGTAACTTATAAATTGGAACGTTTTTATTTCAGCAGTACCATTCATTTAAAAAAAGTCGTAGCATTTTTGAATATTTTAATTAATTTTCCTGCTGATTGGTTTTCAACATCACTTACAGAAGGTTTTTTAGTGTATTGAAAACAAAAGATTAAAGATTCTTGGTGGTAATTCGAAAATCTTGAAATTGGTGAGGATGGAGGAGATTTTCTAAAAGGAATGAGGGCGAAAAATGAACTGGTGAAAACGCAGGATCAGTTTATTGGAACTATCCATGAGATACCTAGAAATGTGAATCATACTTTTCTCCTACAGGATTAAGTTGCAGTCAGTCTTCAACACTTGTACTTTTTGGAATGAGTACCACCCCCATCGCTAAAAGAAGACAACCCGTAGAAACAAGTAATACTGAGAAAGAAGAAAACTAGAATGTCCTGTCTTGAATAATAACTATCCCATTATTTCACGACTTCTTAACAACGGAGATATAGTTCTATTTCATTCACCTATCATACTTAAAAAACTTAATTGTTTTTACCCGACACACTGGTGCATAATGCAGTAAATTCACTATTCTCTTTATTTACATTGGCTGTTGACAATAATAATAATAGTAAAAAAATAAAACCGCCTCAACGCGACATGGCTTTAGCGAAATATTAATACGCATTTACACTTTTAAAATAATGTTCAATTCATAAGAAGTGCTTGTTCTTTTGTTGTTATTATTATTTTTTGATAGCTAAAAAAATCTCTTTAGGACTGGAATGCGTATTTTGAAAATTTATCTTAAACATTTCTTAATTTGTTGCAATTGTTTTGTTAATAGTACTGTATTTATAAAACATGTTCATAACTACTTCTAATCATATTACCATTTAGACACTAAGATATCCAGATTATCATACATGTGCGGCTTTATTTAGTGCTTATCAAATAAGATAAGGTATTTCAGCGTTTGGCCGACTCCGAATTTCAGAAATTGTCGGTTTATGAAATATTAAAAATATTCCTAGTTTTTTAAAAAATGACATTCTACAGGAAAATGCCACATGCAGGGAAAATTGGTGGTTGTTACTTCTATTCAAGCTTTGCAATAACAACAAGCAATTGATATCTCGGCAGTTTGAATTTTCATGACAATAAAAACCCTTCAACATTTACCGTGAATATGTGCGTCACAGTATGGAAATTAACGTAAACCTACCCTGTTATTTTGCGGAAATAAAATTCAAACATTCGTGGATATAAATTTCTGACCCTGCCATCGCAATTTCATGAATACGCGAAATAATCTGAGGATGGGGTTTTCGCGAAATAAAGATCACGCGAATATAAAGTGATTAACAGTATGATGGCAAAATGTTTAATGCATGTGGAGGGAAGAAAACAACAAAAACGTTGCATGTTTTTGTAGTTATTTGTTACGAAGAAATAAGCAAAAAAGCGAAGTATTTTTCCGACCATCCTTTGTCTTTCATTTAAGTCATATTATGAAAATATGGTTATTTTCTTGGAACAATATCCTTTAATGTGTACTCTATTGCGTGTATAACCGGTTATGTGCGTTTTGTTTCTATTCTTTTTTTACAATTAAGAAAACAATATTAATGAGGAAATTTCCGTGTAATCTTCATTATTGCATTACAATTACATGTACAATATATGGTTATATATTACTTTTAATTATATAAAGACATATAAATAATCTATGTCATATTAATATAAAAAAAATGGTAACAAACAAATCTAAATTGATTAAAGGTCTTGTCTTCTTTGAATGATTTGACAATCTTTGCACGAAATAAGATCAATAACTTAAAGTTTATGGTAAATTGTGATACTGAAAACCATCTAGAATCTAGTTCCGTCAGACATTTCATGTAGAGCTTTCTCTTGAATGTCACGTTATTTCATGTGATTTATAACGTGACAGTATTCTAATATATACATAGAAGAAAATCATCCAAATCTTTCATGACTGCTTGGCAATATTCTTTTCCTATTACATATTGTACTTTACATGTAACTTTTCAAAACAAATACGTATTAAAGGCATTGACATTGTTCATGTATATATTAAAAGACTCCGTTATATCCCATGAGATTTATTTAGCCTGAAAGAAGCACATATTTACCTGTATACCTGAATTAATATCATTCTCTGATCTGTCCATTTACCATATTGATGTCAACATAATTTCACATCCCCAAAGATTAACACAAAGCATAGAAAATTTGTCTTTAAAGTATCAACAATTAAGGTGTTATCAATGCAGCTCCAGTCAAATGTTAATGGATAGATAAAATTTTATAATCAGTTTAATTGAAAGACGTTGTAGCTTTTATCAAGAGAATCACTGTGTAAGTGCATCAAGTGTTTCACTTGTTTGAAAAAAAAAGGAATTGGTTTTGCTTTGGCTTTTGTTCCATTGTTTTAAACACAGGTTCACATAGCTTGGCACATATCAATGTCATAACTCGGTGCTATTTCGTTAAAGTACGCTGTAATAGATATTAAACCACATCACGACATCAGCCTTTATTTTCTCGAAAACAAAAAAACTTAAAAAATAATCTATTCTTTCCATGTGTATGTAAAACAGAGACTGAAGCATCGAATTCGTCACATATCTGTTAGCTAAGAATATCTTGATTTCATTTTATCGTAAATAATGAGTTCTAATGAATCGAACATGTTCATCTTTTTTTTAACAAGATCGTGATAAAATTATTCATATAGCGATCAAGACAAGCATTTCGTGGGTAGTAATTATGTATATCTACAAGATATAGATCACGGACGCTTTCATGAAGGTGTAAAATATACGTGACAATATGTTTGAATGGTTACTTGTAATATTCGTTGATGTGTTTTTTACAACCTTGTCTTATTTTCACAATTCTATGATATAGAAAAAGAAGGAACATTTATTCTTGTTATCATTGCTTTATGATTTTTCGAAGAAGAGTTACAAACTATGTTCAAGTGTTGTGTTTCAAATCAGGGTAATTCTCCTTATCTCTATTTTGCTTTTTCGATTTTGCAACCATTTTTAACTTCGATAAATATATATATATTATGATTTTGTTTGCAAAAAGGGAATGTTTTGATGGTTGCATCTGGTCTTCATCAGAAGCATACAAAGAGACACACTGAGGAAATTGCCAACCTTGCTATAGATCTCCTTGATCGAGTCCAACAAATTCAAGTTAAACAAGCCTTCGGCGAAAAAGTTAAGCTCAAAATTGGTATAAATACAGGTATGTGTAAAACAACATGGAAACATTTTATTAATCGTCATCTAAAGGAGTCAACAATTAAAATGTTAAAAACTAAATATGTTTGAAAATTTCATCACAATATTTTATAAAATAAAAGAACAAACTATGATAAAAGTTTAAAATCTTAACAAATGTCTACATATTGTTAAATCAATATCATATTTATCACGAAAAGGAAAACGAAGCAGAAATTCGACGACATTCTACAATTTTGCTTAAAGCGTTTAAAATTTGTGAATAAATACTAAAATTTGCAGAAAACTGGTTGAATGGATTTATTATGGCAGGATTGTATAATTTATTTTATTTTGTTGCTATAAATGTTCCATTAAATGTACTTTTATAGGACAAGTAATTGCCGGTGTCATAGAGGGGAAGTTGCCGCGATATTGTCTCTTTGGAGATACTGTTGTCGGCGCTCAGCTGATGCTAGACACGTGCTTACGTGAGTAAATATTATAAATATATATGTAAAAAAAAAAATAAAAAAAAAATATCAGTCAGGATAGATCTTTTATCTAAGAAATGAGTTTAGCTATAGCATTATTCATTATTGAAAATATGTATGAATATATGCATATATCTTCTTCGAAGTAACGAAGGATGTTCATCAAATGTGTTCATACAGCAATGATAGAAACTCTAATCTTATTACAGCTTTACACATACAAATGACGGAAAGTTCATATTCGCAACTGTCAGACAGGAAAACTTACATAATAAAGGAAAGAGATGATCTTCCTAAAAAGGTAATATATAAAGAATATACTACTGCTTGCACAAATATTAAACAAAAACGTCATAAACAATAAAATATATAAAATGAAAGCCTTCAAATGTCAAATCGGCAAAATTGAAAGTATTATTGCTGATTCAGTTTGATTAAACCTGTTCTTGGACGGCATCACTAAATGCAATGTGTCTTCAACGACCACATAGCGCCGGTTTAAGCAGAAATGAGTATTTCAGCACATGCTTGAGAATTTAGAGACATTTGCAAATGGATGTGTACATACGGCAGTAATAATGGAATTTTCAATGTGACACTTTCGTGTCATTCCATTATAAGCAACGGTTGATCTCAAAATATTCTTAAGGCTGAACCTTGTTGCCTCTCTAAAGTAATCGACGTTGGCATTCTTTGTCAATAAATATATTTGCATGCCAGAGTTATTTGTTCATTTTATAACCAGGTATGTTAACTGCTACGTTGCTCTTTGTTAAAATAGATGACCTGACGAAAGAGTTTATGTCTTATTTTTCCTGAATCTTCATTTGATTTTTAAATTGTTAATTTTAGAATGGTTCAATCCAGAAAAAGACGTATTGGCTGTTTGGAAACTTGAATAATACCCTGATGCAGATTGACTTGGATGTAAACAACACAGATGTCTGACATTATAGACGGTGTCAACTTGTGACAAATAAGAATATGTGCAATTTTAAAGAAAATTTAAAACAAGTAGAAACATTATATATAGTGCGTCATTTAAGTTGTGTACAGTCATGTTCACGAGGCACTCGTTTACAAATAAAGTAACGGGTGTAAAATGTTTCATATATACACAATGTTCCAATCACTAGTTAAAAAGCTAGCAGAAATAATAAAAAAATTGCATGTTCATTGAAAACATGCTGCTCCAATGGGCAGGAATACACGTTCTGTAACGGGTGGAATTAAACATTAATTTATCTTTTTCATAGATTTCTATATCTTTTAATGATTCTGTGTAAATGAATAATATTGATATAAAATGTGTATTGTATTTTAAACTTTAGAACCCGTTTGATATCGTTACATAGAAACATTATAGAAGAAACGTATGTGACTGATTTTTACAACATCTATTTTCAATTGACATATATTCATATGTAAATTACATTGACGAAAAATTAAGGGGTGGGATGTACAATTTTTAAAAATCAATTTATCCCTCCAGTCATTTCTAGCAGCGACTGACAAGTTCTAAAGTAATTTCTGTGTTCTTCTTCTATTGGTGTTGTTTATAATATTACATTCAATCTACCAGATACGATATAATACTATTTTTTAATTCCCATCTGTCCTTATTAGTAGATATTGGACTGCCTTAGACATTGTTGAAAAATAGCGAAATGTAAATGTCTTGAAATCAAATATGATTTAAACTATACGACTGAATTCATATTCCAGCAAGAAATTGAAAAGTGCAATAATGACACACCCCATAGAATGAAGATATAGATGATATAAGTAACAATATAAATTAAGTGAATGTATGTCAACAGATACGTAATTAGAAATCGGCGCTTATTTCATGCGGACCACTGCCAACAAACCCAACAGTAAAACAACTATTAATACGAGTACAATTAATCAGAATGTTACAAATGATAACAATATTGAATCTAATTATCTCGATAGACGAACCATAATTGAGACGTGTCACGACAAAACCAACATAAGGGGTTTGCGACCAGCATGGATCCAGACCAGTCTGCGCATCCGCGCAGTCTGATAAGGATCCATGCTGTTCCCTTACCAACCTTATTACAAGTAGAGAAACTGATAGCGAACAGCATGGATCCTGATCAGACAGCGCGGATGCGCAGGCTGGTCTGAATCCATGCTGGTCGCAAACCCACTATGTTGGTTTTGTCATGACACGGCTCATATGTTTTGTTCTGTAATGTTTAGCTTAGCTATTAAACATCTGATGCGAGGTAAGTCTCCTGGTCCAGATAATAATGTACCAGAAATCTTTGCATACGAAATTGACAGTATTACTTATTTTTCTGGTCGATTAAGCCAGTGCTAATGAGCTTGAAAAATATTAAACATAACACTATCTCTCATTTACAAACTCAATAAAACCGGCTTTCTTTTATCATTGATGTCGAGGTATTTTCTATCTCCAGATTTTGGTAGGCTTACTACATAGAAAAAAATATTCAGTTAAATATCCTGATATACGGTGCAAATGTATTAAGGTTACAGTAAATAAAATGGTAATGTAAGTAATGTAGAAAACTTACGGACATATCTTTGTAACATGTTGTGAGTAAAATTTATGAAAAGATTGACTGTTTGGCCAAAATGTATCATAACATTTCTGCCATTCAGACATGGTTTAAAGCCGGCTGTTTAATCAATTATTGACCTATTCTTAGAAATTGTACGCTGAATTTGTAGATTTAAAACAAATGTTTAGACACTATAAACAGACAGCATTGTTGGACATATTAAAGGGAAGCTGATGAAAGGGCTACTTATTTAAAGCCTTTCACGGCATGTATGGTAAAAATGGGAGCTTAGTAAAATGGTCAAAAATGGAAACATTAAAAGAGCGTCAAAAACGGCAAAATTGAAATTGTTGCACGGCAAATTGAAAATGTTGCACGGCAAAATCGAATATGTTTGCAGGCTGTGTCTTACTGTGCCTGTTCGTTGACAGTACAGAATATGTGAAAGGAAAATGAATTAAATCATTTAAAGTTTTTATAGATAATCTAGATAATGACAATAAGGAACTTTATTTACATACTGACAAAGCTTAAATACCTTTATACATGTTTGCAGAAGGCACAGCTTAAATGGCAGATGCAGTAAAAGGTTAACAAAGCAGTTGAATGTTCTTTCAGAATTTTAAGATACGTTTATTTACAAATATTGTAAGGGTGCATAAAACTGAAATAAAAATAGCTGTTTTCAAAAAAGGGCAGTAACTTAGTTTAAATCGAAATATGGACATATAAGATACTGATAGTCAGTAGTAGCTTTGGTTATGTAGATACAATTTTGACACAGCAAATACCTATAAATCGTATGGTGCACGACTGTGTTAAAGGAAATCGTTTAATGTTTTTTACTTTATACTGTAAGCTATTTATTTATACGTTTTTGAAAAAGATATTAACGTTTTCTAAATCGTTTACATAGACATGCACAGTGCGTTAACTGGAGTGCAGATATTAGTTACCCGCACTCCAGAGCATGTCCATTGAATGGCTCATTTTTGCTGGGGTTTACTTATTTTGACGGCAGAGAAAGGGCAAGCGACAGAAATATCATATTCAGATGCTCGTTCATTGATTATTTTTTCCGGGGTTTCATATTGTGACAACAGGAAACATGTTTTTGTTTTTAACTATGATACAAAAGAGAAAGAACATCAACACACTTGGCAATCTGATTAATACTCGGGGCTACACCCCCTCGTACAAATCAGATAGCCTCGTGTTTCGATGCTCTTTCTATAACATATGCTGTAGTCTGAATGACAAGAAAAATATAAGAACACACGAGACTCAAGTGAGGTACGGAGCAACATTTTATAGCTGCCATATATATATATTTCTTGGCAGCAATAAAACAACAAAAATATACGTTGATTTGATGGCAGTCTCGGTTTGTTTGGAATTTTCCATGAGAGTAGACGCACGAGTATATACGAACATGTTGTATCTCTCGCATTCAATCTTTAACACTAAATGTGCTGAGTAAAAGATCTCGAAGGACCAGAAAAATATAACACCAATATGTCCTTTAGTGTGTAAAGGTTGTGCTCAAACAGGCTTAATTTCCATTCCTTCACTGAATAGATCTTAAGACTAGACAAAGGCATTAATTTTTTAAAGGGTAAAAAAATCTTTTATGTCTTACATAGTTCTAATGACAAAATTAACTCCCCTGGTAATATCCCGTAATGCATGTTATTGCAGTAATTAAGCATCTTTTGGAATTGATAGCAAACTTTTACGTGGTGATGAAGATTATATGACTTTTTACAGCATCGACAAATTACAAATAAGTCCCCGATGACCTTACAGGAACAGAACAAAGGAAAAGTACACCTAAGAAGTAAGCTAGATTTTAATAACAGATAATTGGGTCTTAATTATTCAGACAAAATCTTTTAGAATTAGAAATACTAGTAATTATGTAAAACTGCACTCGAAGCGAGTCTGAAACTAAATAAATATTTCTATCAATATGAAATGATATTTTAAATTGTATAAATGGATTGTAATACTAGTATTTATATTAGGACATTATAAATTTTGTAAATATAATAATCAATTTATACCATACAGTAAGTTGATTTTCTTTTTACCCAAAATGTCTCCGTATACACAATAATATAAAGAATTTGGCAATCAAAACTATAAATATTGTCAACAAAATTATGTTTTATATTTGTAAGAAAATTTTTTCATATATCAATGACAAGTAGCAAAATTGAAATAAACAGAGTCAATAAAATTGGCAGCTTTGTTATATGGAAAAATTTTCCCGAGGTCGTAAAACTCTAAAATATTTTAAAAATGACTTGAAAAGCATAACTTTAAGACAAGGTTAGTAACGTGTCTGAACTGTTTCTTCCAAAGGCCAACTAAACAGTTAGTCACCGAAAATTACGTGAGAAATCGAGGTAGAAAAGCTGCATTGGTATGAGATAAACTATTTATTGTTTGTCAGTTATTTTAGCCCGACATTTTTGCACGGAACTTGTCCAGTGACTAGCATTATCGAAGTATGACTTGTTTCAATTGTTTCATGGAACGGCAAAGACCTGAAAATTGTATCATTGTCGGTGATTTTCTGAATTAGACGTTATTTTTTATGCAAATCATTGCACAGAAATATAAAATAATGAGATATTCGAAATAAATGACTTTGGATGTTTTACATTATTAAGGACTGAAAGTTTAAAGTCTAACATACATGTAATTTTATGTCTTTTTATAGAGGTAACACAGTTGGTCGATATAAAATGCAATATGGCCAATAAATTTAACAAAAGGGCAAATATTTTATGGTTTTCTGTTTCAATCCTTCGAAATAATCTCCTCTACAAAAATACATAAATTCAAAGGTTTAATACAATTTTTAATGCTTCAAAAAGTCCTCCTTATGTATACCTTTCAATAACTGTAAAATGGCCGAAAAGGTAACACTATTTGATAATTGATAATTGTGTAAGCAAATTATTTACTTCAGTATTAAACAACAGATTGAGGAGCACTCAATACTTAAAGAAAATCAAGCAGGCTTTTTTAAACATTATTACACTATAGATCATATATTCACTTTAAATTCAGTTATAGAGATTTTACGAAAATCTAAAAAGAAAATATTCTGTCTGTTTATAGATTTCTCTAAAGCGTTTGACTCTGTTTAGAGGGTTGGCTTATGGAAAAAAATGATGGACAATAATATAAATGGTAAAGGTTTTAGAATAGTTAAAAATACTTAAGATAAAAGAAATTCTGAACGAAGTAGGCAGAATTGATTTATGGCTCAGGCAAGGAGACATAAATAACCAAACCATTAAAAATACTGTAAAACAAGTTTTATTAGATCAAAACCTGCAAACTTGGCACTCATCTCTTAACAATTCTAATAAAGGACGAACTTTTTCTATATTTAAAGACTCTATAAAACTTGAAAATTACCTTCTTAAACTTAATAAACAGGAATACTTGAATCTTTTGAAATTTAGAACAAGGAACCATCGTTTTCCTGTTGAAACAGGCCGATGGGTTGGTCAGGATATACATGAACGTAAATGTTTAGTCTGTGATTCTAATGACGTTGCAGACGAATTTCACTATCTGTTACAATGTTCTTTTTTTGATGATGAACGTAAAAAATATATTAATAGGTATTATTATAATAGACCTAATATCTTAAAATTCAGGCAGCTACTCACAAGTAATTCAGTCATACAACTTAAGAAAACATGTAAATTTATAACTACATTGTTAAATTCTATACAGTGAAAATGGTTTTATTTTGTCAGATGCTCAGTTGCCATGTCACTTATTATATCATGTATTGATATACCATGTATTGTACACTCTTGTGTTGCTATATGTAACTAGAGTTAATAAAGTGTTGTTCTGTTCTGTTCTGTTAATAAATTAAAAAGTAAAAACAGTTAATGATTTGTAGAATTATGCACGTGTTAAATGTTTGTAAAAGGTATAAAGTAAGTTGTTATGTAAATTGTAACGTCCATAATTCGTAAGGCACGTATTTCATTACAATACTATGTGGATTGCATTACACTTTAATTTGATAAATTATACATGATTTTTATGCATGAATTCACAAGCAGTGTCTACCCTCGATATCCATTTACTATACAGATTACATTATATACTTATTTACATAATAAAAGAGGAGCAGTTGAATTTAATATGCGGAACAGTGTCAATGTGGCGATATCACATTACCTTTAGGATACGGAACGTGCGCATTTTTTGCCCGATTCAGATATGTTTCATTAATATCTTTGTTGTTACCCAACCGATTTTTACGAGGTCAGGCGCAGAGTACTCGGTATTGTACAAGCTCTAAACGGTATATCAAATAAATAAAATCCCTGAATGAGTACTTAGAACATTCGAGTACAGTTATTTTTATAGCTGGAACTGAAAGAAACGGTACAGTCGAAAATAAAATCAAGCGATTTCTGTTATTTTTCACTGTTTTACTTTAACCGATGCATCGAACAAAAACATTTCTGTTTTGACATTTTTTTGTAATGTTAAAATAAAATGGCACGGAACACGTTGTTTTTTTTAATGAGTGCGGCACACACTGTTTTCTTCTGTCATATTCCACAGATCTGAAACTAGTATGAAAATTTAATCTTTTAAAACGCTTTACGTTGTCTTTATATTTGTAAAGTTATATATGAAATCCAGGGTCTCTTCTGTAAGGTCACATTATGCTACTGGCTTGTACTATATAAGATTAATGAAATGACAATGAATTTATTTGCAAAGTAAGGCATCCGGCCCAAAATACAAGTAATTAGTCATTAACATTTAGAGGTTATACTTGGTTGCTGCTCGCCATTATGCGATAATGCCCCGAAGATGTGCATAATGACATGAGGGCCGCAGGCCCGAAGGACATTATAGACTCCGAGGTAAATATGAGAAATAAATTGAACACAAAGTAAATATGAGAAAATGTTGATATTGCTATTTTTTATCGATAAATACAGTTACTCTTTACATTTTTCTGTGAGAATAACATTTAGATGTAGTGCCAGTTTTTTTATGAACTTTTGTGTCATCAATGATCAAGAACGGTTTCTGAGACTGATGTTTAGGTCTAAATGCCACCGATTCAATCTTTTATCTACCGTCAATCTGAAATCAGTTTTGGAATTTCTGAGGGTCATATTTTGTCTTGAGTTTATAAATCTTCAATGTTAAGCTTTGCTGATTGCAATTAATTATGTCAGTTTTAAAAACTGTAAAATATTTTGTGTGCAAGTGACTACAGTCCATTCAACGTAAGCAGCCATCTTAAACGTTACGGAGAGCTGATTACGTCATTTTGCTCGTGCGCTCATACACTCGCCCATTTTGCTAAAATAAAACCGAATAGCAAGGCGGCCAAAATTGCATTATAATCTAGACCTTGCCATAATGGCCTTGAAATACCGTAGATTTTTTTGTTACTACATAAAGTAATATAGGTATTAAATGAATATAATGCATTTTTCATGCTTACGAATATATATCATCTGAAATTGAAATCCGCTGAAGTTGCATTTGAGCAGCTGCTCATTTGGACCACTTGTTTGCGTTACGTTTAAATAATGTGTAGTTTTCCGGTATTGCATTTGATGTTTCCACACCAATATGTGGAGCGCATAATTTAGAGATTGCGGATACAAATTCATTTGTTAAATTTCAAGTGTATGTATTGTTTTAAAAACTCGAACTATTATTGCTTTCCTTCTGTAGTTGTGCAATTTATCAGCTATTAGCACTCCTTCTGTATTTCTAAAAGGGACTCCACTGAGTATTTTTTTGACAAGACGGGCCTGGAAATAATTTTTCGATATTAATGTTCCATTTGATGCAGGTCTAGATCAATAACTTGTGCTTAAAATTTCAGATCATTCGCTCAATCCGACTTTGCAGAATAAACTATTATAAGTGTGAAAAATGAACCAAAATTGGAAAGCGTTGCAACGCTTTTCACTCCATAGCACTCAAATACGATTTCATTTTATTTCTGTGTTTATTTCTTAATTATCTTCTGCAAATCTTTCTGTGTTTAATATCCCAGTTGATCTATGTAAGAAGTTCAAATTTAATTTCTTAGACTTTTAACCTGAGTAAGTTCCTTTAATACGTACTCGCCCAGTTATCGGTTATGGATATTTGTTTTCGGTGATTTCAGGGCGCACGGCGATGAAGAAAAATGTCCTATAACAGGCTAAAACTCCAAGCATGCAAACACTCTATCAATAAAATAATTAAATATACATTTCTCTTCTCATGTAATATTCAAACAAATTAACCCACAGCAAGATTTCTTAAAGACGACTGGGTCAAAACTAACTGTTCAATTTCAAAATTTCACGCTCTTTATATGTAATAAAATTACTTTGCCCATTTTAATGCACACTTACATGCACTAATGCACATGATGTGCAAATTTAAGATCTGTTTTTGCTAAATGCAATAAATTCGAAATGATGAAATTAAATCCTGTAAGCCCTGTCTATTTAACCTGACTGCACTACCTAGGTTAAGGCTATATAATAAGGTTTAAGCTCAATGCAGGTAACATTATAAGTTGGATATCTGAACAGAAAACATGAGTGTAGAGGAGACTAGATTACGTTTCTATCAGAAGGTAGCAATAGTAACAGGCGGGTGTGACGGTGTGGGTAGAGGTTGTGTCGATATTCTAGGTATGTTGTTTATAATAAGTGGGGCGGGAAATAAGGTCAGTGCAAATGGTGGTACAAGCATGAAACTGTCAGGAAATCATCTTTCGACTATGCAGATTTCAAAGGTGAAGTGGGCCTAAAATGTCTCTGCTCAAGATGACCGCCAAATAAATTTTACCTACATAATAGCTCATTCAATGAAATTTGTTGAACAGACGTGAGACCTACGCTAAAGCATGTATAAAGTTTTTCCTTTACAAAAACTCAAATCTTTAAAACATTCTGCTTTTATATCTCTTCAGAATTAAAGATTGCGTCCAATATGGCTGCAGTTTTAAAATTATGATAAGTTTAAGTTTGATAAGTTTATTTCAATATTCCATTGGACCAAATGGTCCATGTGGATAAATAGATACATGATACATGACAAGACAGTGTAAAGCATATACAATAACATGTGTAAATGGAGAAGGTATACACAAAATTGTATATCATCAATTAAAATGAACATCAGAACAAAAGGACATTCAAATTTACCTAATGTTAAATAAATTATGCATATTTCAATAAAAAAAGGTGTTGAAACATATCAGAGATAATCAAATTATATGTAAAACACAAAAAATAAGTTTTTTGTCCAAAAAATATCTTTAAAAATATTAAAGAAAAAGTGCCAATATTTGTATATTTCTCTAACATGGTTTTCTAATAGGTTTATGTACAAAATTCAAAAAGTTACTAAGTTTCTTATAACGTATTTGATATTCAATTGACACTATGTGGTCATTGTCAAAATGTAAAAAATATCTGTATGCTTTCAAGGGATCACTTTGTTTCCAGATTTTTAGATTTTCATATTCTGTCAAACTGGGCGGGGTAAATTAATCCGATAATTGTAAAATCAAAAACAAAAAAATTTTATTTCTGTGCTTTTTATTAATCTTTCATTTATTTAAACTATCAGTTAATGCACATACAGTCATGTGTATACATTGAGTTATAAAATTTATTTGCATGATATAACTTGTTTTCATATTCTTAATATCATTAGTTAATTGTAACGATAGTAGACTGAATAAACATCAACAAAACATGCGTTAAATGTTGTCTTATTGAGGAATACAATTAATTCCTGCACAATTTCTTTATGAAAAGATAACAATCGCTTTAAAGCTATCACAATAAGAAATAATGATTTTTTTGCATTAGATATCGTAGTCTTGCTGAAGGCTTGTAATAGTATATCAGTTATATCAACTTTTATATCATTGTAATCAAGCAAAAATTGAATTGGCACTGTTCATTGAATAACATATCTAAACATGGTATATTCAAAAGATACAAAGTAAAATTAAGGCGACTGATACATCATATCATCTATATGTAGTTCAATATTATCACTTGGCCCACATACAGTGGCTGATGATTTGAAATATAAGCTAACTATCTTTCAAAGATTATCAATATTTAATTTTCCCGATTAAACAACCCTAGATGACTCACTTCTTAAAGATTTACTGCAGGAAAGCTGCCATATTTTTTAATACAGAAGTGAGATAAAATCATGTCAGGAGTATCAATTTTTTCACCATATACAGTTATGATTTATGAACTATTTGTTAAGGTTCGCTTCAAAAGAAACATGCCCAATATCAAGGCACTCAGAATCGTTTCACGCTAGAAGATTCATATAGCTATATTCCTATATGAGTCCATATAAACTAAGTGATTATGACCCTATGCCAATAATTCATAATTTTATAGAGAATTACAAGGTGATTTTACATGATAGTCTTTTCTGCTCTGGGCACTGTAGTTTCGGAGAAGATTTTTAAGACAGTTTTAAGTCTATGCAAACATAAGAAACATCCCCAGGTGTCGCCCCAGCCACTGTTATACCCTGGTAACTTACTCGTTTCATATATTATTACTTTTTTTATCGCATTTTCATTATTTTTTTGTAACAGAAATTAGTAAAAAATATATTATGTGCAATTCCCTCTATTGTGCCCTTTCACTTTTGTTTCAAGTGAGAACCTCGGATAAAATGAACAAATACCAACTAAAGCTGTCTAAGGTACCTCACAGCTAGCCATATACAATTAGTCAGTGAGCGCAGCCGTTTAAAGTTGTTTTCGCTGCTTCCAAAAAATGGAATATAAAAATCAACACTGAAACTACAAGAGGTATCAATCAGCCAGAAACTTTGTAGGTAGATAGATCTTATTGAGTAGTAGTGCAGTGCAAAAGCACCTTTACTTTGCCAAGCCTAATTTTGGAGTAATTGTCCTTTGTTCATTTTTACACTTTGAACATTGCCCGGGATCACAATTGGTATCAACAAGAAACTTTGTAGGTAGATAGATTTCATTGAGTAGATGTACATTGCAAAAGAAACGTAAATCTGCATTGCCTAATTTTGAAGTTATTGCCTTTTTTCCAGTTTTACACTGTAATATATTTGTCCCGGACATAACTCTTCAACTACAAGAGATATCAACAAGAAGTAGTTTCTCTGTATCCAAAACCTGTTCGGGGAGCATCACCAGATTCAACCGGCGCTTATGTTTTTTCTTTACTTTTTTATAATTTTATTTTGAATGTGGCACCCCAGGTCCCCTTTGACCCTATGCCCCCTTTGAACCTCCGTAAAAAGCTCAACCGATATGTAGCAGGTGTAAAAAATCAACTGTTATATATCAATTTAATGCGTTCCTATATAAATCAAGTGAAAAAAACTGTACTGTTATATATCAATACAGTTTTCATATCCTAAATGGAAGTGAACCGAATACAATGTATAATAGGTTAGAATGAACAAAGAAAAAGCTCAAAGCCATGCGATAAGTGTACATAGAATTTACATAGTAAAATGTAAAATGCAGAATGCACAGAGCATAGAGCATAGATACTAATCATGTATCATCATCTTGTGTCTTTATCATATGGAATGAATATTGCTCATAGAGCCACCCGTGTTTATAAACTTGTATAGGAAAACACGTTAAATCTTCTAGTGTTAAACTACAATGACTAAACTAAGACATAATTGTATGTGCAAGCTCACCCTTTTGAGGAAGACAAAAATACCATCTTCCAATAAAGAATACTATTTAATAGTGAACATTTGCATAAGAATTCACAGAAAAGGGAAAGAAATAGAATTAACTTTCCAGTGTAAATTTTATTGTTTTTCTTATATAATTATCGGATAAGTTTACCCAACCAACTTGGACAAAATATAAAACCTACAGATTTCATGTGTTTCTTATATTTTTACAACAAATCCCTATTGTTAATTGAATGTCAAATAAGAAATAAAGTAACGTTTTTTAAATTTTGTATCTAGATTAAGAAAACCAAATTAGAGAAATTTGCAAAAAAAATGAGATTTTTTTTCTTGATATTTTTAAAGATATTTTTAAACATAAACTGAAAAAAAACTTTACTTTCATTGTGATTATTATATAATTTGATTATTTCTGATATGTTTAAACACTTTTTTATCGAAATAAACATAATATGTATTACAAATTATACTAAAAAATGACAGTTTTGCATAAAATTGGGAGCCATATTGGACGCCATCTTAGATTGTATACAGGTATGAAAGCGGAATTTTGTAAGATTTATTTTTTTTTGTAAATGAAACACTTTTTTCATGCAATGGTGTAAATTTCAGGTCTTTACATAATTTTTTACCAAATGAGCTATTAATGTACGTCAAATTTATATGGCGGCCATTTTGAAAATTGCGACCATCTTGAATGAGTGAAGATATTTTTGGGCCCACTTCACCTTTGAAATCTACATGGTTAAAGATGATTTCCTGAAATTTCATGCCTGTATCACGATTAGCTCTATTTTCTCAATTTCTCGCCCCACTAAATACTATGACAAAGAGTTAAGTTTAACGATGTCTTCTGTAAATAAGAGTAAGACACAAACAGAGTTTATATACCCTACAATTTTCATTTGATGTAGATATGCATATTGGAGACATTTTAAATATCTAATAACATATCTTGTGTTTATATCAAAATTTAACGCGACGTAAAATGAAGTACCTTTAAATACGATGGATGATTATTAAATGTTGTCATTGAATTGAACTCACAAGACAAAATAAAATATGTTGAAAGTATTTTGCATTCAACAAAGTAGGTGTTCTACTTGCATTGAAATTCATTCAATACACCATGGCCACGGTTATTTACAGGTTATTTGCAGTTATGATATTTCGACAGTAGTCAAGGGGTTACCATGGATTAGTAAAAATCTGAATCATGTAACCGTATCGTGATTTAGGTCTTAATAGCACACAGTGTTTCGCAATGCAAGTTTATATTTAGCGAAACTATCTAGTAAATTAATTAAATATCTCTACTCTATATTACGACCTATCATTTTCGTGAAAGTAAGAGACTATTGATAGTTTAAACTTCAGTCTCCGTTTTAGATATAACTTGGTATACTAATCGGTGAACTTGTCATCATCATCAAATTATTTCAATTCTTTATCAAACCTCGTTATTAACCATCTTTGTATAAAACGGGACCTACTGAACTGTTAAACTTGTTTACGTTATTTTGAATTTATTTCATGTATTTAACCCATATTTTTAGTATAGGTTAAAGTTAATTAGTACGTATTTACAAAATTAAATTGGTCAGGCGCGCGAAGCCGCGAGACCAATTTAATTTTGTAAATAAGTACCAGTTTAGTGTTTTAATGTTTTTCTATAAACAATCGTTTTACTAGACTGATTAACAGTTTTAACAAAGTGATAAGGTTGTCTCCTTATACACTTGGTTTAAACCCGCAATTTGTACTCGACAGTCATGATTTTTTTTTATGATCATATGATGTAAATAGTGGTAATCCTTTAGCCAAATCCGAGTTTTCAGGCCTCAACGATAAGTGATAGTTTTAGAGGGCCTATAACATTCCTACCATGGGTATTAAAAACATAGAATAAAAGACTCAAACACTATTGTTCATATTGTTTACTATAAACTTT